TGAGTGAAAACAATCAAACACAATAACTTGTGGCTGAACTAGAGGATATCTTTTTAAATGCCTGGCCTTGATTTAAATACTCCAAATGATGAAGAATTTTCCTTTTTCTTTAGTTAGCTGCTCTGATGCTTAATCACCCTCACTGAAATTAAAAATTGCATCTTCTATCCAATTTAAATTTCTTTAATTTCAGCTTCCAACCATTGGATTTATTTATGCATTTGTCTGCTAAATGAAAGGTTTCCCTCATACCAGATACATTCTCTGTGTATTTATGGATTGAGACCAAGCTACTTCATCACTTTCTCTAGAAGTTGAAAGCAAATGTTTTAAAAATAATAAAACTTGTCCCTAAATTGTACTGAATGTGATGGCATAGGGAGGAATAAGTAAGTTCAATATCAGTGATGTTTACTTTCCTGTGTTGTAACTCATTAATTTTCATTTCAACATCAAATGTTTATAATGGGAAAAAATTTCTGCTCCACTCTGCTGGAATTCTTTGAGAGTCAACAAAATAGTAGATGAAGGAGAACTGGTAGTTATAATTTATTTGGACTTTCATAAAACCCTGACAAAGTCCCTCACAATAAGCTATTAAGAAAATTAACTAGGCATGGGGTGAAGGTAAAGTTCTGTATTCTGTATGAGAAGTTGGCAGAGAGACAGAAAAGAGCAAGGAAAAGTAATTTTCCATGTGGCAAAAGATGGCCTGAGCTATAATAGTGCTAATGTTGGGTAATGTGTTCATTAGTGATCTAGAAGAGATATTGAACATAAGAGGCTACAACCTGATTTAACAACAACCTGTCCTGTGACACCTTAAAAACTAACAGATTCATTTGGGTATAAGCTTTCCTAGATTAAAACCACTTCATCAGATGCAAGGATGGAAGTAAATCAAGAGTAGGGGAAAATGTGAGGTACACCCAAGTGGCCTAAGAAAAGCAGCTGAATGGGCAGCAGGACTGGCAAACGAAATCCACTTTTGACAAATGAAAGGGTAGTGCACATTGGAAGGAAACATCTGAAATACTCCTACTACCCGGCATAGTTCCCTCTAGTGTGCACGCAGAAATAATTCTAATCCCGCCCACCTCGTTAACAGAGCCACACAGAAGCAGATAAACAGGTGGTGGTGGGCTTGGTGAGGGAGTGGGGGCAACCTAAAAAAAAAGCCTCGGCACAGCAGGGCAGCTCTCTGCTCTCCTCAGGGCTGGAGCTGGGGCCAGGCCCGTGTGGTGGGTGCCCAACTGCTCCCTGGCAGGGCCGTATGGCAGGCGGCTGCCCCATGTGCTGGAGCTAGAGCTGGGGCTGCAATGCGGCTGCTTCTGGGGCTGGGACCACGGTACAGCTGTCCCCATGAGCTGTGGCCACAGCCACGTGATGGCTGCCCAGCTGCTTCCGGGGTACCAAAATGGCTACTGAAAAACATGAAGTATTGCTTTTCTATTTGATCTCATATTAAATAAGCATTTAAAGTCATGCGCCTTGTTAATTATCCCTTTAGAATTCTTTGTTAGCAACTGGTGGGTGCAGCAGTGGCACATGTCTAGACAAGTGCGCACGACCTCAATATTGCTGCACAAGATAAAACTCATTCACTCACAGATGGAAAACTTTAGAGAGAGCACTGCTACCAGGGACTAAATTACTTGTAATTACCTAGTAAAAAGATCAGGAAGTCTCTGTGTAAACTTCCTGTGAATATCTCTTTTTAGTGTGCAAGGCAAAAAAAAATGTAAGGTGCGTATTCAAAGGCAGTATGTTGCACAAAAATTATGCTGAATATATTCAGTGCCATTGTCCAATTCAGTAGGATCCCTTGCTTTGAATGCTGAGTCCATTGCAAACCACCTTATCTGAAAAATAACAAAAACAGAAGTTCTAACATTGGCAGAGAAAACCATTAGAGGCCTGAGCATACTTTCACATGAGGAGAGATTGAAAAGATTTAAACTTATGGGATCTGGGCATGCCTTAGCCAGCTTTGAAAATTTTATTTTAGCTGTGTTTAATTGAGAGAGACAAATAGGTGACAGGATCAAGATATAAAACTATGAATGAGTGAAAGAAAGTAAATCAACACATTTGTTTAATTAATCACAATACAAGAACAAGGGGACATTCCATGAAACTGGAGGGCAACAACTTTCAATTAATAATAGGAAATACATTTTTACCCGGTTAGCCTGTCGAACTCTGAGTCTCCATGCCAGCGCAACATGATTTACATGATTCACCACAGGCCTGAAAAAAGAGTACCACAAAGAATGTATAACTAACGAAGATATCACAACAAACATTTGTACCTTCAAATTGCATACTTGCAATCCCCGCCCCCACCCCAAGGCTTGAAGTAATCATTTTGTGGTGAAATTAAACAGGCCGGCATGATCTGTTTCTGAACAGGTGCCAAATTTTTCACATTAATGTGCTACCTGCTGAAAATTAATTTAGATGCTGTTGGTTAATGTGGAGTAGGGATAGAATGGTAGTTCGTTAATAGGAAACAGATGTGCCTTAGCTCACTATCTTTTTTGTGCCAAAACCACAAAATCACGCACTGCCATAAAACATTTTTTAAGGAAAAGTACAACCTGCTCAATTTTAGAACCCTTTTTTAAAATAAAATTTGTTTTAAGCACATTAGGAACATATTTACAATCTAGGCTCACAAATGCATGATTGTGATCGTTTCCTAATTATTATACAGTAGTTGGATACTTTGACAAGACATCGCTAATACAGGCTATCAGAAAGTATGGCCCTAAATGGATGAAGACTAATTTTTAGAGGCCATCTATAAAAATAGCTGAGGAGTTTTCCAAAGTTTTGGTCTCACTCACATCGTACCCTGTTAAAGATGAGTCCTAGTTTTCAGGGGCGTTACCATCTATCCAGAATGGAAAGACAGTGTTGCATTTTATATCTCAAGGAGTTTTTTTTCATAGCCATTATTACTACGGCTATGCCCCCCTTATCAACTAATAGAGTAGTCAAAAATTCCATTAACTACTCGATTAGCTAGAAACCATTACTAAACATCTCTAATATCAACCTGACTCAGGCCAGATGAAAATTGTGATGCTTTGTGATTTGAGTTTAATTTGCTACCATGTTACTTTCGTTTTACTCCACTATGACAATAGGCTCAAATTGGTGTGAAAATGGGGATGGTAAGACACTGGGGATACAGGTTCTTTAGTCTTTTACGATATTTTCTAACATGACATAGCAGGTGAGCAAACTGATTATAATGATTATCCAGGCTGTTTCTTTCTATAATGAGGTGTTAATTTGTTACAGATTCAGTTTCTTCATTGTATACAACAAGCAGCGACTGGAGGCGAAAGTGAAGTTGTGGATGGATTTTATGTATCCAACAAGCTGAAGGAGAAAAATCCTCAAGCCTTTCAGATTCTCTCCTCCACTCTTGTAGACTTCACAGATGTTGGGACTGACTACTGCGATTTTGCTATGCAGTCTAAACAGAGGATTATTGAGTGAGTAACAGTCAAGGGTGTGACCATAGCTAACAAAATCCAAGAGTTTTAAATTTCATATAATGCTGCTTCACCAGGAATTACTGGGTTGCACACAATGCTGAATTTATGCCTGATTTGGCAGGCTTGAATCCTAGCACCTCGAGGCATGGCCCAGGTGATAGCCTTGGCACCTTTGGGCTAGCTGCATTAGTTGTGAATATATTTTTTTTAAATGTTTCAGCTCCAGCACTTCTTCCATTACAAATGAAGCACTGGTTGTACAGCAACAACTTGCATGATAGAAAAAGTTCTAGTTGCATTTCTCATTGTTTCTTCTTGCAGGAAGATGTTAGAGGGTCTATGACTGCCACCTCGTGGGAACACAGTGTTTCAACGTTGTCCTTAATTATCAACTGAATTATGTTGCACTATAATGAATCAAAAGCTTCAGAGGGGTAGCTGAGTTAGTCTGTAACAGAAAAAATTAAAAAACAACAAATAGTCTGGTAGCACTTTAAAGACTAACAAAATATGTAGATGTGCATGAATCAGATAGTCTTTATTATTTTTATTACGGAATTTGTCATTATATTTTAATTTTCCCTACTCATTCTTTTCACACTCCACTACTCAAAGCAGCCATGTCGGGGGGCTCGCCCCTGTCTTGGGGTTGCCACCCCCATCTGGGGCCCAGATCGGCCCGTCTGGTCCTAGCCCTCGAAGTATAATGCCCCTCTCTTAGGGGGAATACAGCCCCCTGGCCTAGTTCCACAGTACAATGCCCCTCTCGTAGGGGAAATACGGCCTGCTGGCCTGGTCCCCAGAGTACACTGTCCCCCTCGTAGGAGAAATATGGCCCAGTGGCCTAGTTCACAGTTCGGTGCCCCTGTGCTAGGGGAAATACGGCCTCCCGGCCTAGTCCACAGCTTACAGGCCCAGAGGCCTAATCCACAGTTCAGGGTTTGTTACCCCGGTCCCCACTGGCCAGGGTCTCGGGCAGCAGGAGTAGGGGGGCCCGGGCCCTCCCTCTCCACCGGGCCCCGACCCAGGGCCCTAGTAGTGGCGGGTGGTTCCCACCACTGGCTCAGGGGGGGCTCCTGCCCGCAACGCCCCGAGCCCTCAGGGGCTTCTACAGCTCCCTGCCCTGGGTCGCTTCCTACCCCCTGCTCGCAGCCTGCCGCGGTCCCACCTGTCGGCGTCGGTCGATGGGCTGTAGTGGCCCTCCCCCTGGCAGCCGCAGAGTTGGCGGAGTCCGGTCCAGCACTCGGGTCGCGGGTGGTCGGTCGGCAGCTCCGGCGTTGGGGCCGAGCCCGGCGCAGGCCCGGCAGCAGCACGCTCAGCTCCCCCGGCGACTCCCTCTCTGGCCAGTGGTCGCTAGCTCCAGCTCAGGTCGCAGTCTGCCCCTTCTGAGCAGGCCAGCAGCCTTTTATAACTTGGCTCCCCTCGGAGCATGCCCAGTAGGGCTGTGTGGGTGGGGCCCTCTCCACCCCTGGCTCCAGGTGGTTTCCCTGGGCTTGAGTGCGGGGCGGGGCTGCCCCATCACAAGCCATAATAACTTTCTCTTGATATCCATAACAGCAATTGGTCTTCTATCTAAATTCTAAATGAAATGTGCACCCATATGCTGTTTTGAAGCTCCTGCGTGGGAAAGAACTCTTACATAAGAGGCTGTCTTGCTCTATTATTTTCTTTTAATCTTGTTATATGACTAGGGGTCATACTACATGTCATAATAGTCCCTTCTGTCTGTAAAAATGTATTAATTCAAACATTTTAGAGAGAGAGGGTTTTTTTTTTTTTACATTAACAGACTGAGGGTGGGATTTAGGATAAGATTTTCAAAAATGCCAAAATATTTAGAAGCAAAAGTCCTTTTCATTGTTAATCTTCCTAAATCCTGACCGATTAAGAAAAGGAGGACCCTGATGTGCAAAAATGTACAATACTTTGTGATAGCATTGCAATTCATTGTTGAATTGTACTGTAACAGCCAGCAATTGAAAGGGGAAATTTAACCTGCCCTTATCAAAACAAAAATATGCTAATGGTTTAAGTGGCATGATAATACATTTCTCTCTTTCTCTTTCTCTCAGTGTAGATTACAGAGGCCAGGTGGTTCGTATCAATTATAATAATGCAACAAGAGACACTGTATTTGACATACCTGCTGAAAACGTGCAGCCATTTTATGCAGCACTGAAGGAGTTTGTTGATCTATTGAATGAACCGGAACATACGGTTACCTACAAGATGAAACCCGGTCAGTGAGTATGTTACTTCTGCTTACAAAAATTGGAAAATGTTTTTCATGCTTTTGTCTAAGAACCAAATCCTAAACATTTGAACATATGGGCCATTAGTACAATGCTGGTACCAAACGGGAATCTCAGTCCTCTCTGAGTGCCCAACGCAAAACACTTTGCTAGATTTGGAGAAGTCTAGAACACTCATGACAACAGCTGAAATCAATTGAAGGTGTGTTTCGAACATGTAAAGTGCTATAGATATGCTAAGTATTATGGAAAATTAGGTCCTAGGGGTATCAGGTTGGCGATGTTAGACAGTTTTAACCATTATTTCTCTGTGCCTCAGTTCCCTTTTTGTAAAATGGAGATAATAGCACAGCACTGCTTTACAGAGTGTTGTGGAGACAAATTCACTGTATGTATGAAGCATTCAGCTACTATGGTAAGAGCATGATGGAAACCATCAGAGGAAATTAATTACTCTGTATGTGGAGCTGGGTTTAAATAACGTGTAGTGATAATTCATGGGGCCCATGCTGAATGATGAGAGTAACATAAGCCACTGACTAGCTGCCCATTAAATGAGAAGATTCTTTCTGTGCACTGTAGCAGGCAGAGGCTTTATGGGGGAGAAAAGAGTTTGTGATTACATAATTAAGGACTAACAGATTTATTGGAACATAAGCTTTTGTGGGCAAAGACCCACTTCATCAGATGCATGTGGTCTTTGCACATGAAAGCTTATGCTTCAATAAATCTGCTAGTCTGTAAGGTGCCACAGGACTTCTCATCACTTTTGCAGATTCAGACTAACACAGCTACCTCTCTGATAATTAAGGTCTGTGGGTGTGAGATGAGTGTCGATCCCCAGTTCCCAGACACATAATTGCACTAGCTCTCATCTAGCTAGCACACTAAAGATAGTAGTTGAAGCAAAATGCAGGACTATGTAGCACTTTAAAGACTAACAAGATGGTTTATTAGATGATGAGGTTTCGTGGGCCAGACCCACTTCCTCAGATCAAATAGGGGAAGAAAATAGTCACAACCATATATACCAAAGGATACAATTAAAAAAAATGAACACATATGAAAAGGACAAAGGGTGGGAAGGGGGAGGAAGGAAGGTAAGTGTCTGTGAATTGCTGATATTAAAGGTAGGGAGAGTGGGATGTTTGTGAGTTAATGGTATTAGAGGTGATAATTGGGGAAACTATCTTGGTAATGGGTGAGATAGTTCAAGTGTTTGTTCATTCCTTTTTGGAGAGTGTCGAATTTTAACATGAATGACAGTTCAGAGGATTCCCTTTCAAGTGCAGATGTAAGTAAAAGGTCTTTGTAGCAGAATGCAGGTGGTTAAGTCATTGAGAGAGTGTCCTTTCTGGTTAAAATGGCAAGAAACTGTTTTTTCTTTGTGATCTTGTCTGATATCTGTTTTGTGGGCATTAATCCTTTGGCGAAGTGTCTGAGATGTTTGTCCAATGTACATAGCAGACGGACACTTTCGGCACATGATAGCGTAGATTATATTTCTGGATGCGCAGGAATATGTGTTCTTGATCTTATAGCTCACTTGGTTAGGTCCAATAATGGTATCAGCAGAATGAATATGTGGACAAAGCTGGCAACGGGGTTTGTTGCAAGGGAAGGTACCAGGGTTGGTATTAGTGTGGTATGTCCTGTGGTTGTTGGTAAGAATCATCTTGAGGTTAGGTGGTTGTCTATAGGAGACTATGGGTCTGTCTCCCAGAGCCTCTTTGAGTATGGTATCCTGTTCCAGTATAGGCTGTAGTTTATTGATAATGTGTTGGACAGGTTTTAGTTGGGGGTTGTAGGTGATGACAAGTGGTGTTCTATTGTTGGTTTTCTATTACTATTAAAGATAGTAGTGTAATTCTGGTAAAATGGGCAGTAGCGGGCACTGGTTCTAGTCCATTTTTTTACTCAAAGTGACCAATCTGTTCCTATCACTCACAATGAGAGCTCATCAACGTTCCCTCTAATCTTTTTCATCCATGGGCAGAATACATTTTTATGTGCACTGAGGCATGGCTGCATGTACCACACAAGTAGAAACAAAATACCTAGCTGTGAGCACTTAGCTTTTCAGTTGAGTGGCATTTGAATTTCTCCCACACAAATGCACAGCTTACAGGAAACACCGAAGCTTGTGTAAGCATGGCTACGCCAGCTGAGAATCACACCCAAGTAGTTCCAAGTATAGATGAAATTTCTGTCATAATCCATGCACACAAGAGGACTGAATTAAGTCTTCATGGTTTAGCTACATTTGTCATTTCTTAATTCTTAAACATATGACCTTTGCAACCTTAATGTTTTTTAATGTAGTTAATCATATTACATGCAAAAAATATGGGCTGTTTTGAGCACATTGACTGAAAATTACCCTGGTGCATAGTACTAGTGCAAAGACATGCCATCGCACCCATGTGCGGCAGTAGCATTCTGCAGCAGGGATTTATATGAAGGCATGCAGCAGAAGGCAGTGATATAGATGGAATGGGAAATCCGTTACTACATGTCTCCAGTGGCACTATTGCCCCAGCAAAAAGGGTGGAGATATTGAGTCACACCCTCTTCTAGCCCATAGGCAGCAGTAATAGCTACTGGAGGGGAAGGGGGGGAAGAAGAGTGCACTGCAGTCCTTCACCTTGCCTGTGGGTTGTGGGTGGATTTACTTGCTAGTGCTCATGTTCATCACCTGCTCAGGCCCTCTGGCTTTGTGCATCTGAAGTGAGTTCACTCACTAAAAAGTTTTATGCAGTTAATCATCATGTGGAGCCATGATCACAAGGGCAGCAGTATAAAACCCCCAAGGCCTCATCTTCACTTGCTGTGCCAGCGATCGATCTGGCATTTGATTTAGCGGGTCTAGTTAAGACTCACTAAATCGAATGCTGAGAGCAGCTCCAGCCAGTGCCAGTACTCCTCTCAGTTGTGAGGCGCAAGGGAAGTTAACGGAAGCATATGCACATGTATTACTTCATAGAACAACTGTGAAGACGATGCCAAGCTTGGCTTAAGGTAAGTTGACTCCAGATACATATTTTCTGTAGCTTAACCCGACTTTCTAGGTCTAGTGTAGACCTGGCCTAAGATAGTAAGTTCCAAGTGCTTACACTTTGACACCTGTCCCCTCCCCCCACCCAAAGTCTGTCTCACTCTCTCCAACCCCTTCCCCCAGCTTATGCTCTCTTCCCTCTAACCCTATCCATGCCCAGGCTCCTAACGCTTTTCTCCCATGAATGGCAATTGTATATCCCTTCCTCACTGTCTGCCTTTGTCATTGCCCTTTCTTCAAGAACACACGCACACCCAGTTCTCACCACTGTATTCTAATCAGGCTGCTTTCTCTTCGTCAGTGTCAGGGTACTCGGTGAGAGCATTGAGTGTACAGGAGAGACGGTCCCTTGCTTTCAGTTCTTGTGCCTGGCACTACAGCAGTCCAGAGCCACAATCACAGGGAAAGTCCTGCTTAGACCCAATATCCCGGGGATGGAGCACGCTGAGTTGTTCCGTGAGGTAATACATGTGCAGTCACACACAGGAGCTGTGAGTTTTGGAGTATTAGTGCCCGCAGAACTTGAAAAGTCAAGTTCCCAGACTCTGAGATGTTTGTTTTGAGCATGTGCAAACTTCTGTTTTTCAAAGGCTTGTAAAAGTTTACCAAAGTGAGGGAGTTTTCACAGCAAAAGGCACATCCCTGACTAAGGAATGGGAGCCTTCTAGCTCCATTTTTCTCTGTAGTTGTCCCCTACAGTGGTGGATTGGATGCTGTGTACATTTCTCCCCCACCCCCTTCTGACAGAGAGAGGAGAGGAAGTACTTTATTACTCTCTCTGGGGTGGGGGACTAGAGGCTTTGCTGCACTGCCACCATGGGTGAGGCCATTTTATTTTAGTTCATGACAAACCCTTTTCTCTGTGCTGGTTGGATCCATGCAAAATGGTTATTCCAGCCATGTGGATGAAGTCTTCCTGCAGCCTCTATAACCCCAATAACATGAGAGGGATTTGCAGTTTGCAGGAGATACAGTGTGCACGGCCCTAACCTGAGACTTGAATTCAGTTCCCAGCCCTAGACTTCCTAACAGACTGTGGGCAAGTCTGTCAGTTCCCCATCTGTAAAATGGTGGCACTGCTCTATGCCACTGGGAAGTTGTGTGTGTTGGTATATGAATGATTCTGAGATGGTTAGCTTCCCCAGGCACAAATAGATGCAAGGGATGGCATGTTGTGCTTTCTAGATATGAATACGTTTCCCAATTGTGGGGAAGAGTTTTTGCGGGAGGGTTCAAGAGACACTCTGATAAATGCACTGAAATCGTTTCAATGTATTATATATTTGAAATGACGGAAAACATGACAAAGTGCTGAAGTACATTGTTTAATCTCTTCATAGGAGACATAGTAACATTTGACAACTGGCGTTTACTGCATGGCCGCCGGAGCTACCAGTCAGGGACAGAAATAGCCCGTCACCTTGAAGGTGCTTATGCAGACTGGGATGTGGTAATGTCAAGACTCCGACTCTTCAGGAACATTGTCCAGAATGGCAATTAAACTTTCTTCTGGTATAATAATTAGCAATGCCTAGGACAGCTCACCCGTTTTAAAAAATATAAATGTATTGAATTTCCAATACCAAGTGTACATTTTAAACCTTTGCTAATGTAACCTTTGAAAGACTGAATATATTTTTGAAAGGTATGTTTTGTTGAAATAAGGTATCTCACAGTACATCTTTATTCTGCTGTCACCATAAGTGGTATCTCAGCCTGCTGTATTAGTCTGAGGCTAATTAGATACCAATACATCACAAATGAGTCTTCTCTTATTAGGAATCAATCTCTCCAGGTGCTTGTTACCCATTTAGGGGTTGTAAAGGAGATCAGCTTTCTGCAAATTTTTTAAATCTCTTTTCAAATATGTAAAAGCATTTTATATATAATGACAAACTTTCTTCAAACTTCCCTTCCCCCCCCCAAAAAAAAAAACCAATAACTTTAGGCTCTACCGTGATAGTAACAAGAAATTCTACTCTGAAAAGTGATTATTCAAAAATAGCATCTTACTAAACAAATCTCTTCTTTATGCATGTTCAGAGCCATTCCTGTTTAATGTCACACCCAAAAGTAAATGGTTAGTACTTTTTATTCCACTTAGCTCTAAAGAGTCTATACAGCTGTAGGAGACCAAATGGATTCAAACCTCTCCTTGTTGTTAGTAGTATTACAATACTAACTAAAGTCCTGAGATCAGACCCTACTGTAGGTGCTTTGCATAGGCTTAGTAGAAGACTCTCCCTGTCCTGAACAGCTTATAGTCTGTATAGATGAAGGATACAGACCCTCTTGGCCCCATTTTACAGCTAGGAACTAAGGCACTGAGAGATTCAGCATGAGATTCACAAGGAGGACTAGGCTTAGCATTGCAAACCCTAACTTTTAGGCACCCTGCCACCATGTGAAATTCACAGCCCTGAATTAAGCACCCAAGTTTCCTATACACCACCAGGGGAGATTTACCTAAAGAAGGGATTCAAAAAGCCAGCAGATTGAGATGGGAGCTGCCTGAGCTAG